TGTCCCACCATACTGGGTTTGTTTGGTGACATGCTTTGGTGACATGTCCCTAGAGAGCTATAACACATATTTTGTCATAAATAATAAATTAAACCCGATTTATTTATTTTTTATGCATGTGTAATATCCTTCACTTCTGATGGCAAATGAAATCCAGAAACGTAAACACGAAAGGACGGGATTATGAAACCGTGATATTTACGTAAGCATACAAACAGGCGCCTTCAGGTTATGTGGACACAGCTCAATTATGCCCTACATTTCCTTATTTGAAGAACTGTTTTGTGAAGACAAGTAAAGCCGCTTCCTATAAAGTCAATAATAATGGTTTAAGACCGCGGTTGCCAGCTATTAGGTAAGCGTTCCTGTGAATTAAGGAATATCGATTTCCCAGTAACTAGGTTAATAGGACAGTGAGTCAGCCGTGGGATTGTACATATTATGCAGGTTCCGGGTGACATGTCTTATTTTAACCTACGTTTTACCTGCTTTAAACTCCGGCGTAATAACTTCATCCCACCGTAGAAGGCAAAAATATTACATTTAACAGAAGTTCAGGAAATAGTTTGTAGCATCTGTTACTTGTGTATGTTGTAATAATACTCTGTTTTACTGATTGGTTTCTTTATTTGACCTGCTTGGGGATGAAGATAAGACTTTATAAGAAAGCAGACTTCAGAAAGAATGATTGTTTTACTTACAGGTATTAGATTTATAATAGACCCTGGGTAGCTGGAGGCTTGGAGACCGTATCCACAGGAGGATAGTAATACCTTTGGAGGGGGGACAATGATGCTGCCAATGCTATAACCCCCTCCCCCCAGGGTTATTATATTAGTAACCCAACAACCCGCCTAATAGAGAGGGCTGGGGGTATACCCACATGTTCTATATTACAGAATGACGCCCACTGTCCCCTGGTTAATGACAAGGAGAAGCTGAGAACGCACATGGCAGTGCCATGTGCCAATGGGCACTGATATCTAATATAGTAACTTACCGGTTTGGAGGGTAAAATAAAAACATGCCGGTATGATAGAAAAATGATATCACGAAAATCTTCTTGTTGAGGGATTTCATCAGCTGACAATTGCCTTTACAAAGCTCCAATGCATAGCTTTCACTTTCAGTCTGAACGAGTAACTCCTGGGGGTCCATTTTGCCATTTACAGGCCTTTTACAAGTCTGATTCATCTTATCTTCCTCTATGTAAAAAAAGAGGGGGATTTGTTTGTTTTTTACTTTTTGTACTGATAAAATCTGCAGTGGATACAGTCTATCTCCCGATTTTGGAATGTAGGGGATGTGTCGGATATATACCAATATACCACAGATTTTATAAAATACTGAGGGGTTTTTGTATTGCTTTGTTCAGAGATCAAGGACAAAAAAAATGAAATATGGAAACCACTCACTTCCATCAATTCTCATTATCCCACTCCTGATTATCCTTCCCCACTAACAATATGGGCTCTAGGACGTTCTCTTTACCTCGACAATGGGTGCTCGACTCTCCTCAATATAGCCTTGGCCAGGGCTAGTAAATTTGGTGCCACTCTCCCTCGGTGTGTGCCACCCTGTGTGTACATAACAGAACATGTAAAATAATCTTTGTATGTGCCACCTCGTGTGTACGTAACGGAACATGTAAAATAATCTTTGTATGTGCCACCTCGTGTGTACGTAACGGAACATGTAAAATAATCTTTGTATGTGCCACCTCGTGTGTACGTAACGGAACATGTAAAATAATCTTTGTATGTGCAGTCCTATGTGTACGTAAAAGAACATGTAAAATAACCTTTGTATGTGCTGCCCTGTGTGTACGTAACGGAACATGTTAAATAATCTTTGTATGTGCCGCCTTGTATGTACGTAACGGAACGTGTTAAATAATCTTTGTATGTGCCGCCCTGTATGTACGTAACGGAACATGTTAAATAATCTTTGTATGTGCCGCCTTATATGTACGTAACGGAACATGTTAAATAATCTTTGTATGTGCCGCCTTGTATGTACGTAACGGAACATGTAAAATAACATTTGTATGTGCCGCCCTGTGTGTACGTAACTGAACATGTAAAATAATCTTTGTATGTGCCGACCTATGTGTAGATAACGGAACATGTAATAATCTTTCTAAATGCCACCTTATGTGTACGTAACAGAGCTTGTAAAATAATCTTTGTATGTGCAGTCCTATGTGTACGTAACGGAACATGTAAAATAACCTTTGTATGTGCCGCCTTATGTGTATTATTTAACACAGCTTGTTAAATAATCTTTGTATGTGCTGCCTTATGTGTACGTAACAGAGCTTGTAAAATAATCTTTGTATGTGCCGCCCCCTGTTTGTAATAACGGAACATGTAAAATCATTTTTGTATGTGCCGCCCTGTGTGTAGATAACGGAACATGTAAAATAATTTTTGTATGTGCCGCCCTGTGTGTAGATAACGGAACATGTAAAATAATCGTTGTATGTGTCGTCTTGTGCTTGTCTCACCCGCACCCCAATCTATTATTGCCATGTTATGGATAAAACAGAATGTGGTCAAATACCACAATATGAAAAAATTAAAGGGACACTCCACTGCCCAATTAAATACAAATAAGAAAATAAATGTTTAGTACATATGCTTCCAATGAAAATATGTATGTATTTAATTATACATGTTTTGACAGGGATTATAGCTAAAATAGCTTGTAAAACCTGCAGATCTCTTATCTGCAGTCTTTCTAATCCATCCCCTTCTAACCCCGCCCAGACTTTCTGTGTCTGTCCAATTACAGATTTCCCAATGCAGCTCAATGAGACGTCTTTGCAAGGCAGGTGCTCTGGGCAATCGTGGCCTCTTGAGTTTATCTCCCCTGAGCTAACCAAACCAGGAAGTAACAGGACCAGGTGTCTGATTGGCAGTCAGGGGGTTGTAACAAGGTTCATTTATAAAAGTGACAATGTCTATTAAAATCTGCACTTTTTGTAAAATGTAAAAAAGAGGACACATTCTGTACACATAAAACATTTCAGCAAGTTAAAGTACTTTAGGGGTACGGAGTGTCCCTTTAAAATACATTTATACAGCATTATATATAGTTACACATGAAAGGGGACATTTTAATCTCGGCAAACGCCGCAGCTCGGGGGCAGCCTGTTAATTGACCAGCATTGTGTAACGGCCAGGCACTGGTTTAAAGCACTTAAGATTTAAAAACTGCAAAAAGAGTAATTGCTTTCCTGCAATTTGAAAACGGGCAGAATTCCCTGTGTGATCGTTTCTATACTGTCAGTATACTCCTTATTTTATAGATTTTATAGTAAGTAAAGTGGTTACTCCCTTCCCATCAGTTTTCTCTCCAGTAGAGCCCATCTATTTCAAAGGTCCAGTATTTGCCAGGTCAGCACTACATTTTGGGGTAATGTTCCAGTAAAAATAAATTCATTAGATCTGTCCTACATTTTGAAATCTGGCCGAGCACAGAGAGCTCAGCTTCAGCCTGGCCTCCGACCCCCTGCTCGCTTCGCTAGCCTGCCCACCTCCACCCCAGAAGGTATGGTAGAGCCCTGGTTATACTTTACTTCTTTGTCCCTTTAATATATCTGTATTAATGTCTGTAAGTAAAACGATTATGGCTAACTTTACTTTCTTTCACATATGTTCATATAGAGCCAGAAACTGCCTTGCGGTGGATGTCTTCCGGAGCCGCTGAGTGCAAGGCCCACGCAATGGATATGTGTATATTCACGGACAAAGCTGCCATGGTTAAATGCACTAAGTTTAGCAGCACACATTGGAGCATAGAAGGCATGGATCTTGTCTACAATTCCCAGTTAGGTAAATAATCCCCATGATGTTTTGGAAATAACTCCTTGTTCCTGACGGTATCCCTCACTGACCGTCTGTTTGTTTCTGTAATGTACATGATATACAGGACTCATTGTCCTCTGCAGGAAACACAGCAATATATGTGAAGATTTCCTGGTAGATTTTTTTACAGTGTTTCACATTTTGTACTTTTATTAGAAAGCTAGCCTATAAAAAATACCCATGTGTACGATTTTATAGCCTCATAAATTAAAACACTTCTTTCTCCTGGGTACCCCACAGGGATTTTATTATCTACCTGAGGTTGCCAAGCCCACGCAAACAAGCAGATGGAAACTAAAGCTCTCAGGGGATTTAAGGTGAGGTCATGGAGTCAGTGGACCCTTCAAATGGTGAGCTAAAAATGTCAGTTCAGACTCAAAAAGGCTAAACGTGCTTTACTTTCAGTATTCCTAGAAACAGTAAATGTTTAAATCAGCTGGGAAAATGGTGAAAAAATGTTCTGTATATTTAAACTCAGAAAATTCATTGTAGGTTTCACCAAGACTGGATTATTTTCATTACAGTTTGAGCATGCCACGCAGCCCTAGAGGTGCTACAGCAATGCGAGGAAGACCATGACCATAAATAAGGGTATGAGGTTGGAGCTACAGCAGTGACCAATGAGTGAGGTATGAGGTTGGAGCTTCAGCAGTGACCAATGAGTGAGGTATAAAGTTGGACCTACAACAGTGACCAATGAGTGAAGTATGAGGTTGGAGCTACAGCAACGACCAATGAGTGAGGTATGAGGTTGGAGCTACAGCAATGACCAATGAATGAGGTATGAGGTTGGAAGCCAATGAGTGGGGTATGAGGTAGAAGCTATGGCAATGACCAACGAGTGAGGTATGAAGTTGGAGCTACAGCAGTGACCAATGAGTGAGGTATGAGGTAGAAGCTATGGCAATGACCAACGAGTGATGTATGAAGTTGGAGCTATAGCAGTGACCAATGAGTGAGGTATGAGGTTGGAGCTACAGCAACGACCAATGAGTGAGGTATGAGGTTGGAGCTACAGCAACGACCAATGGGTGAGGTATGAGGTTGGAGCTATGGCAAATACCAATGAGTGGGGTATGAGGTAGAAGCTATGGCAATGACCAGCGAGTGAGGTATGATGTTGGAGCTATGGCAAATACCAACGAGTGAGGTATGAGGTTGGAGCTACAGCAATGACCAATGAGTGAGGTATGAGGTTGGAGCTATGGCAATGATCAGTGAGAGAGGTATGAGGTTGGAGCTATAACAATGATCAGTGAGTGAGGTATGCGGTTGGAGCTATGGCAATCACCAATGAGCGAGGTATGAGGTAGGAGCTTTGTCAATGACCAATGAGTGGGGTATGAAGTAGGAGCTATGGCAATGCTTGGAATAACATGAGAATGAATGAAGAGCTATGGTAATGCTAAGAGGAACATGACCATGAATGAGGCATGAGGAAGGAGCTATATTCAGAGGGATATGATCATTAATTGCCCTAGGAGCAACAGCAGTGCTACAAGGGGCAGGATCATGAATTAAGTCGGAGATATGGCAAAGCTGGAAAAAACATGACCATGAATGAAGTATGAGGAGTGAGTAGTTTGAGTGATAGGGGTCAAGTAGTTGGTACAGTTAAAGGGACACTATAATCACAAAATAACTTTAGCTTCATTAAGATGTTTTCATGTATAGATTATGCCCCTTGCAGTCTCAATGCTTAATTATCTGCCATTTAAGAGTTAAATCACTTTATTTATGCAGCCCTATGTACTCCTCCCTGCATGTGACTTACACAACCTTCATAAACACTTCCTGTAAAGAGTCATCTAATGTTTATACTTCCTTTATTGCAAATTCTGTTGAATGTAAAATTTCTTATCTTGTGCTCTGTTAATAGCTTGCTAGATCCTACACGGGCCTCCTGTATATAATTAGAGTTCAATTTACAGAGCAGAAGATACAAACTTTTAAAGTAAGTTCTGTCTGATTGAAAATGAAACCATTTTTTTCATGCAGGCTGTGTCAATCACAACCAGGGGAGGTTTGGCTAAGGCTGCATAAACATAAACAACAGTGATTTAACTCTTAAACGGCAGAGAATTGAGCAGGGAGACTTCAGGGACATGATCTATACACCAAAACTGCTTCATTAAGCTAAAGTTGTTTTGGTAAATATAGTGTAACTTTAAATTTGGTTCCCTGCCCCACAGTCACAGGTTGATTCTCTGACATCCCAATTATGGGGTCTTCCCAAAAAGTGCAGCCTCAATTTTTGTACTTATCGAGGCTTGCGCAACGGTCTGCACAAGGGCATCCCTGAGAAAGCTAACTTAACCACAGGAGTCAATTATGGTCATCCTGGCTGAACTAAGATTCTACTGTGATGCAGAAGTGTAAATCCTGCATTAAAAATGCAACTTAACAATCATTTGTGGTGAAGAATTATTTGTCTTGCCAGCTCTAGGAGGAACGAGAAGGAACGGTTTGCCAAACATTTACCCTTCAATATATACACATATGTTCCTTGCATCATGTATTAAAATGCACAAGGCACGAAAACTTCCACACACAAAAAATAAGCAAGAGAAAAGTTAATCCCAGTATTTTCATGAAGCTTCACAAGAGTAGACAATGTGTAAACAGGGTATAAATGCTTTACAGTGCTTGAGATCTAAAACCACATTGTGTTTATAAAGTTATCTGTTCATCAAACGCAAGGAGAAATAACCGAACAAACTCTGCATTTTCTATAATTACCTTTCGCTTCCACAGTAGAGACAGCTTGTCAAATGGCCCTATCCCAGGCATGTTGTGACTGGAAATATCATTGCATTAAGAGAGGGAATTTTAAAAAAAGAACATTTTCCATTTTTACAATAAGAATTCTTTCTGTGGGGAAGTGATGGAAAGTCAGAGATTATATTGTGCAGCAATAGGAAACCCAAAGGAGGTCGATGTCGTGTAAGGACAGTTTAGATACAACTCCTAGAAGATGGAAAGGTCAGCCACCCAGAAGAGAGACTCGTCCTTAAAACATGAACATTTGGAAGCTGATTTCTATAATTTGTGGTTACATGGTTGCCAACTCTTTTGCAGATGCCTGGGAGAAAAGTGCTTTTTCCTCGAGGGTGAGGTGAGTTAAAGACTCGGCTCCCTGGCACATGTTGATATGCCCCAAGTTCATCTGGAGGCCTGAGAAACATAGATCTTTGCCAATGTTTTCCAGGCTGTTCTCATAATGGAAGATGAATCCTGGATCATATCATGGTGTTTTCATGGCATGATGGCTACAGTGGGGAACCACCCTCTATTCTTGTGGTTCGCATACCAATCAATCACAGACCACCACTAAAGGTACTAGTGCAGTCTACATCTTCATTGGAACAAAACTGAGTAACCTGTAAAGCCATACCAGTGAATGGTCCATGAGTAATAATTTGGGAACCAGAGACATGCAAAATTGAAGGAATTATAGAACTTACTGACAGGTCTTTAGTTATAATGACACATAGGGAGCCTTAGTTTTGGTGAGTCTTTAATTGTGATTATTCAAGCATTTCTTACAGTAGAGGACTCTGTCCATTGCTACTTACCAGGAGGCACGCTTGTGTAGGTCTGTGCCTGGACTTGTCACTGGGATATTTCCCACTGGATCTTGGGCTGACCAAGCTGATGGGGTACAATGAGAATATACGATGGCCCTGGCGGGTCTGCCACTGAGTTGTCATTGGTGGCAGTGGAGTCATGGGACACAGAGTCTTAGCCACCCTCAGATCTCTGAAAGTATTCCTGTGCTGTTTTATTATTAATTCCATGTACGTTGCTCTTTACTTTTTGTTGAATTACTGAAAAGTTATTTATAGCCATTTTTAACTCCTGTCCTGGGGGTTTAAAGGGAAATAACAATCCTTCTATGTCCTATATGATCATTTACGTCAGACTCTGAAAGACACAATTCATTAAGTTAAAAAATGTGACCGAATCAGACGTGTTTTAGCAGAACAACAGGGGGGTATATCCCAGGTGTTTGTACTAATGCAATGCATGGTGGCAATAAAGTTTATAGTACTCAAATCATAACAGAGGTTAGTTTGGTTTTGGGGGTAAAAATTAAATACAGAGTTTGGTCTTTCAAAGCTAACAAGGCAGATTATGCAGAAAGGCAAGGTTTGTCATGTATTTAATGACCTGAAAAGGAAACATTTTGTTTGATAAACTCCAATTTCATAACGGCGGGCTGATGGGAAGATTTTAGATATTGTATTCCAAGGACAGCGATAGCAAACATGCCCAAACTATCACAGGAAGCCAGTTTATAGATCTGCAAAGGAAGTGCCAACACTAAATCACAGGCGTGAAACAAGAATTTATTCCACAAAATCTGTAAAAAATCTGTACAAACACACCCCCTGACACTTAAACACTTACTGACGGTCACTAACACGTAAACACACACCCTGACACTTAAACACTCACTGACGGTCACTAACACGTAAACACACCCCCTGACACTTAAACACTCACTGACGGTCACTAACACGTAAACACACACCCTGACACTTAAACACTCACTAACACGTAAACACACACTGACACTTAAACACTCACTGACGGTCACTAACACGTAAACACACACCCTGACACTTAAACACTCACTGACAGTCACTAACACGTAAGCACACACCCTGACACTTAAACACTCACTGACGGTCACTAACACGTAAACACACACCCTGACACTTAAACACTCACTGACAGTCACTAACACGTAAGCACACACCCTGACACTTAAACAATCACTGACGGTCACTAACATGTAAACACACACCCTGACACTTAAACACTCACTGATAGTCACTAACACGTAAACTCACACCCTGACACTTAAACACTCACTGACAGTCACTAACACGTAAACATACAACATGACACTTAAACACTCACTGATGGTCACTAACACGTAAACACACACCCTGACACTTAAACACTCACTGACAGTCACTAACGCGTAAACACACACCCTGACACTTAAACACTCACTGACGGTCACTAACACGTAAACACACACCCTGACACTTAAACACTCACTGACAGTCACTAACACGTAAACACACACCCTGACACATAAACACTCACTGACAGTCACTAACACGTAAACACACACCCTGACACTTAAACACTCACCCTGACACTTAAACACTCACTGACAGTCACTAACACGTAAACACACACCCTGACACTTAAACACTCACTGACAGTCACTAAGACTTAAACACACACCCTGACACTTAAACACTCATTGACAGTCACTAACACGTACACACACACCCTGACACTTACACACTCACTGACAGTCACTAACACTTACACACACACCCTGTCACTTAAACACTCACTGACAGTCACTAACACGTAAGCACACACCCTGACACTTAAACACTCACTGACGGTCACTAACATGTAAACACACACCCTGACACTTAAACACTCACTGATAGTCACTAACACGTAAACTCACACCCTGACACTTAAACACTCACTGACAGTCACTAACACGTAAACATACAACATGACACTTAAACACTCACTGATGGTCACTAACACACACACACCCTGACACTTAAACACTCACTGACGGTCACTAACACGTAAACACACACCCTGACACTAACACGTAAACACACACCCTGACACTTAAACACTCACTGACAGTCACTAACACGTAAACACACACCCTGACACATAAACACTCACTGACAGTCACTAACACGTAAACACACACCCTGACACTTAAACACACACCCTGACACTTAAACACTCACTGACAGTCACTAACACGTAAACACACACCCTGACACTTAAACACTCACTGACAGTCACTAAGACTTAAACACACACCCTGACACTTAAACACTCATTGACAGTCACTAACACGTACACACACACCCTGACACTTACACACTCACTGACAGTCACTAACACTTACACACACACCCTGTCACTTAAACACTCACTGACAGTCACTAACATGTAAACACACACCCTGACACTTAAACACTCACTGACAGTCACTAACACGTAAACACAGACCCTGACACTTAAACACTCACTGACAGTCACTAACACTTAAACACACACCCTGACACTTAAACACTCACTGACAGTCACTAACACTTAAACACACACACTGTCACTTAAACACTCACTGACAGTCACTAACACGTAAACACACACCCTGACACTTAAACACTCACTGACAGTCACTAACACGTAAACACACACCCTGACACTTAAACACTCACTGACAGTCACTAACACGTAAACACAGACCCTGACACTTAAACACTCACTGACAGTCACTAACACGTAAACA